GTTGGCCTCTGTGTAGAGGACCCTGGGCTCGCAGCCAAGCTCGGCGGCGCACGAGACGGCGAAGTAGGAGACGAGCGGCGGGTCGGCGAGGAAGAAGGTGGCTTGGATCTGGTCGCCGTGCCTTGTGCGGGAGACGGCCGTGGTGTGGTTGGATTCGCCGGCGAGGTATGCGCGGTCGTCGAGCAGGACCCATGGAGGAAAGGGGGCATCGTCGGCGCCGGACTTGGGACGACGGCGAGCGGGGATTGAAGGAGGATGCGTCGAGGAGGCGTGGTAGCGCGTCCACGCCATCCCTCCCTCTCCTCTCCCTGAAGAGAACTCTCCCCTGCCTCGCCGGAGTATATGTATGGAAGCTCCTCCCCTCTCCGTGTCCGACGAGGGCTAGAGTCGGAGGCGGAGGCGGAGGCGGATTGGTGGCGGCGGCGGAGGGGAAAACTTCTTCCAGTACCAGTACCAGTAGGGTGTGGGAGAGTGATGGACGCCTTCTGGTTTTACCCCCTAGAAAATAAAATAAATGAAAAGGACGCCCTTTTCTCTTCTTTCATCTCACGCCGTGGCCGTTGGATCCAAATCCGACGGTCGCACTTCTTTCTTTTTCGGTTCCAACCCTAGCTCCCATTTCTTTTTTGCCCACTTTATAAATTTCCATCCCTACTTATACACCTAGATTCGTCTTGTTCTTTCCCGCATACGTGCTTTTCAAAAGTTGGATCTTTTTCTTTCATGGAGGAAATACTCCCTCCGTCCGAAAATACTTGTCATCAAAACGGACAAAAATAGATGTATCTAGAACTAATATAGGTCTAGATACATCCCCTTTTGATCATTTTGATGACAAGTATTTTTGGACGGAGGGAGTATAAAGTTTTGAGTTGGTGTCGGGTTCGTTCCCCACCCTTTTCCTAAATGTTCTCTAATCTATAAACTTTGGATTTTTTTCTTTTTGAAATGGTCGTGGTGTGGTTAGATCCGCCCGCGAGGTCGTCGAGTAGGACCCACGGAGGCAGGGCATCCTCGGTGCCGAATTTGGATTTTCTTGCCCGCTTTATAAACTTGGATCTCTTAGACACATATTATAGATTATTTCAGACTTTATTTCCATCCCTACTTATACACCTAGATTCGTCTTGTTCTTTCCCGCATACGTGCTTTCGAAAATTTGGGTCTTTTTCTTTCATGGAGGAAATATAAAGTTTTGAGTTAGTGTCGGGTTCGTTCCCCTCCCTTTTCCTAAATGTTCTCCAATCTATAAACTTTGGGTTTTTTTAAATGGTCGTGGTGTGCTTAGATCCGCCCGCGAGGTCGTCGAGTAGGTCCCACGGAGGCAAGGCATCCTCGACGCTGGATTTGGATTTTCTTGCCCGCAAGGCATCTTCTTCCTCTGCCTCACACAAACCCGAAAAACTAACTCAAGCACGAGTTCCGGCCACTTTTGCTGTGATTTTCGATCTCCTTGTTCAAAGCACCTCTCGCAAAACTGCTTGGGAAGATTGTTCCTTGGTATGTGACTCCTCCATTGGTCCAATTAGTTTTTGTTCTAGTGCTTTATTCTTTGCAAATTTGTGCTGCATAGGTGACCATGTTCTTGAGCTTGCATGTCAAATTTATATGGTTCCAAGTAGTTATAATGCTTGATATCTAGGCACTTGTAGGAGTAGTTGCTATCAATTTTATTGAAGTTGGTTCAGTTTTATTTGAAGTTAGTAAAATTTTAGATTATTTCAGAAAATAATGAAGAGACTTTTGAGGGGCTCGTCGAGCCGAAGCTCGAAGGAAAAACAAAAGGAAGAAGAGCAGAAGCCCAAATATAATTTGCCTCGTACCGCGGAGGTTCGGCCGTGTGAATGGCCTTCTGATGACTTCTTGAGGAGAGCCGGGATCTATGAGGATTTCTATCTATTAATTGAGAACGCCGGCCTCACCGACTTCCTCCGCGATCAACGTCATCAGTATCTCTTACTCACAAATACTTTTGTGCAAAACTTCTACTTTTTCCCTAAGAAATCACCTCCATCAGTAGAGTTTCATTTATATGACGTTGTTAAGAAGATGCCATTAGCTGAATTTTGCGAGGTTTGCAAAATACCCTTTGAGGGTACCTTAGATGAACCACACCGTAATGAAGTGGAAGCTTTTATTAACACTGTCACTGTGGGAGAAACCAGGAAGGTTTCTGATGCAAGGATTACTAGCATACATTTTCCTATTTTACGCTACTTTGCCTTATTTGCTAGTCGTTGCTTGATTGGTCGCGGAAACTGTGGAAACCTTAGTGTTCCTGATATTATTATTTTGTTCCATGGTTTATACCGCAATAACTCTGTTAGTATGGGTGGACTTGTTGCTAGATGGTTAAGTCTGAATCGTACTAAGGGCCCCGTCTTTGGAGGCATTTATGCTTCACGCCTAGCTGAATATTTTGAAATACCTATTAGGCATTTGGAGAAAGAAGAAACATCATTGCCCCGTGCTTATTTAGATTATAAGAGTATGCTAGCGCATGACTTTCTTGTTAAGGGCAAAGAAGGGGAGCTTAAATATAAATTGTACTTTGATAAACATCACCCTGAGACTATTACTTTGCCTGCTCCCTCTTTGTTTAACTTGTCTGCAGGTCCTCACATCGTTTCGTGGGCGGCCGTTCAAGCCTATCGGAGTCCTGCACCAGCCCCAGAACCGGAACCACAAGATGAGCCTCCACGACAGTCTATTTATTCTTGGGATCCTGAGGCGGTTGCCAGCCAGTGGCAGTCAGAGTCCTCTTCATCACATTATGATCCCAACTATTCTTCGCCGCAGTATGACCCCAGTTACACCTACGGGTATCCGCCAAGCTATCCCTGGCAATAAACCAACTTAGGCCAAAAGCATAAGCTTGGGGGAGTACGTATTTCTCACCGACATTACATTTATGTTCACACACACTCATTGCTAGATGTCGGTGCTCATACTCTTTCACTGTAATATCCATGCTAGTTTATTTTCTTTTTCCTGCTTTCTTCTTGTGTGTTTAATAAACCTTAGAAAAACCAAAAAAAATAGTAGTAGTTTATTTTTCTTGCTGTAGTAGTAATGATTAAAAAGAAAACACAAAAATATTTCCCGTTCTTCTTTTGCTTGTTGGGAGCTTTCCCGTATAAATAGTTTTTATTTCTTTTCTTTTCTTTGTGGGTCAGTAGGAGAAGACCATGATTAAATTGTTGAAGTGGCTCTTTTATGCATCATTGTTGATTTAACCAAGAGCCCATATTGCATTGTCTTCTCATGTTTATTAAATGCTTGCAGATTCCAGCTTAGTCAAATGCACGTGCACTCTTATTATTATTCACACCGTTCGGTCGTGCAAGTGAAAGGCAATTATGATGACATATATGATGGACTGACTGAGATGGGAAAAGCTAGTATGAACTCGACCTCTTTTGTTTTTGTAAATATGATGAGTTCATCGTTCTTGATTCAGCTTATTATGAATAAACATGTTTGCAATGACAATTAGAGATCATAGTTGCTTGTGCCATGCTTGATTAGCTATGAGTTATAATGGTTTACCTTGCGTGCCAACATGCTATTAAAATGGTTGTGATGTGGTATGATGGGGTGGTATCCCCCTTTGAATGATTTAAGTGACTTGACTTGGCACATGTTCACGCATGTAGTTGAAACAAATCAACATAGCCTTCATGATATTTATGTTCATGGTGGATTATATCCTACTCATGCTTGTATTCAATGTTTATTAATTTTAATGCATGTTCATGACTGTTGTCGCTCTCTAGTTGGTCGCTTCCCAGTCTTTTGCTAGCCTTCACTTGTACTGAGCGGGAATACTGCTTGTGCATCCAATTCCTTAAACCCCAAAGTTATTCTATATGAGTCCACCATACCTTCCTATATGCGGTATCTACCTGCCGTTCCAAGTAAATTTGTATGTGCCAAACTCTAAACCTTCAAATAAACATTCTGTTTTGCATGCTCGAATAGCTCAGATATCAACTAGGGCTGCCCTTATCTTCCGTGTTAGGCGGGTTATTCTC